TTATGGGTTGATCAAGGAGGATCTTGAAAGTCAGGGTAGGCTTTGGAAATTAAATTATTAAGTACTTATTCTCAATTCACTTTCACTTTGTAATATTATTTATCCTTTATATCAGTATATTATAGCAGAATTTACATGGCAGAGAGGTTTGAGGGAAATATTTCCTTTTTATAAATTTTGTCCTGATTCTTCTGTTTATTTCGTGAAAAAAATCTCTAAGGGTCACTGCTTTAACATTTTTCAACATTGCATTTTTGAAATATCTTACTTCTTCATCTCAGTTAGCCAGACTACTTGCGATCAACAGTATCAGAAGACCGGAACAGTCTTTTGCCTTGTTTTCTGCCTTTGAAGCATGCCAAAATATCTTTTGAGTCAGGGACAGCCATTGCATATGTGACAAAGGATTTTTTCCTTCATCCCAAATAAAATGAATAAATCAAATTACTTCCCCACAAAAAAGTGATGGGAAAGAAGTGAAATTAGCTTATGAGTAAGGTCAAGCTTTGATGATACTGTTATGAAGCCTTCAAAAATGATTTTTCTAGCATCCTATTCCACTAAAATTACTATTGCCAATGTCAAAAAAAATTTTTTTTTATCAAATCTAATGAATACTTTCAACCCTTTAACATGTTTTGCATGCCTTTGGGGCCACTGCCAAGTACCATTTCTTGCTGATACTCTTACTTTGGCATTTATCATTTCCCTTCAGGTAGATATGTTTCTCTCAATTTACACATTTTGTTTCCTTTGTGGATTTGTTTTTCCATTCACATCATAAATTTGGCATTTCCTACATTCCATCTTTTACTCCAGTAGTTTCTAATTCTACACAGACTAGATGAGCCCATTCACAGCCTTGTCTTCAACTACCCCTATATTCTGGTGACTCCTAAGTACTTAGTATCAACCCCTCTGATAACTGTTGAATCATGTATTTCAACTATTTATTACATATTTCCACCTGGATGAATTTCCAGGTCAAAATGGCCTTCTACTCCCTAAACCTAAAACCTTTTTCTTTATCTTGAAATGGTGCCTCAGATAGAATCTTGGGTATCATACTGGGCTCAATTTTCTCCTTCGCCGCCTGTCCAATTAGTTATCAAAGTCTGTCAACTCTACTTATTAAATATATGATTCACTATATATGCTACTTTCACTGCTACTGCCCTGACTTAGTTGAGGTCCTTGTCCCTTTTTCCTAGGTTTCAGTTGTACTCTTTGACTAACCCTATTACCAATTTCACCCTACCACCAAACAATCTCTGCCACCAGAATCATCTTTCTAAAAACAATTATAAACAATTATATCATTTCCTTTCCTTTTCATAATAAAGTCCAAACTTCTTAACCTTAACATCCAAGATTCTTCTGTGATTTGACTCCTGAATTTACTATGTTATCTCTCATTCTTCCTGTTCAAGCAACTCTGTTTCAGTTCTCACAATGCTGTTTGCTCAGTATCCTGCCTTCTTTTGCCCATATTGTTTCCCTACCTGAAGATCCTTCCATTCTTCCACATTTTCCCCTGGCTGGTCCCTAACAAACCTTAGGATTCTAATTACCTGTCACTTCCCCTGAGGACGAGTTCCCTGGCCTTCCCAGACGGAGTCAAATACCCCTTTGCCCTACCACATCACCTTCGTCTTTGTCAACCATACTATCACTCTGAGTTATACTTATGTTCTCATTTTCTGTTTCACCAGACTGCAAGTGTTAAAGGCAGAAATATTTTTCTAGTCTTTATGCCTAGTTGCAACCAGAATGCTTCATCCAGAAGGATGCTTAAAGAGTATTTCTAGAAATTTAAATTATAGAATTGATACAAAAGGAACTGTGCTATCTTAAATCATTAGCCATCAAATCCTTATTCATAAAAAAATAATATATATGTTGGTGATTATACTTATTTTGCTGTGGCATTTTTGTGCTCCTCAAACTTCACTCATACTTTGTGTCGGAAGGTGCTGAGGTATTTAATGCTCCACCTTTGTTGTAGATTAAACATTTCAGTACATGACAGTTTTTACAACAGTACAACCTATATATTTTATCCAAACTCTGGAGGTAACAGAGGAGAACTTAGAAGGTTATACATGCCATGTGTTACCATATACTTTTTTTTAAGCATTAAGGATTGAACAGCTTGTAACAGGGCTTTTGTCAGAAATTATCAGGCCAAGTCACTTAAAAGGAAAGGGTATTTTTCCTTACTACTTGTTAAACACAATTAAGGATCATCCATCACTTTCTATGTGAAGTTTTTCATTGATCATCATTGCAAATGTACTGACTTTACCTGATCATTATCATCAATGGGAATTTGAGCTCAGTGTTCCTGTCTTTGTTTCAGTATAAAGTAATGAATGATAGTACAGTTAATGGGGAAAAAATAACACTTTTGTACCAGGCATGTTCAAGTCAATTTAACAGTGTACATTTATCACAGATAAGCCCTCTAAAAGGTAGCTATTTTAAAAAGCTATTTTCTGAGTTGCTTTTCATTCTGTTAAATGGAAAATACACTTTCTGCTATTAATATTGGCAATTTCAAAAGTTTTAAGTTATTTCAGCAAAGATTTGCCTTTTATATTATAATTTACCAAAAATGTTCCTTTATTTTTATTTCTAGTAATCCCAGAATGCAAAAAGAAAAACAAACAAACCCCCCCAAAATAAAGTGTAGGGTAAAGTAGATATAAACATGTAAATGTAAGTGGAATCTGTTTTTTTAAAAAAGAACAAATGAATTAACTGTTATATTATGATGTAAACATTTTCAAATTAGAGATTAACATGAAACAAAGGCCTGGAGTGATTAAAAATACAGTAGGTCAAATATTTCAGTAGTATGAAATGCTTTCTTTAGGAAAGTTATGAAATTGACTAAAAAAGGAATAAAGAATAAAAATATGTTCCTGAAGATGGTAGTGAACAATTTATTAATGTTTAATACATCTGACTAATTGAACCTAACTTTCTATGAGCCTGTCATTATATATATATATATAAAACATATATATAAAATATATGTTCTGGAAATATATATATTTGTTGGTGTATACCAAGTATATATATGAAATATATATTCTGGAAAATGAAATATATATATGAATTCTTAGGTGGAACAGATGTTATTAAAATAGCTTGGTGTTCCCACCAAAACACTTGATTTTTATGTACCTTTAATAAAAGATTTCATCTATTGTCATTGTTTCAGCTATATTCAAATGCAGATAATTTCCAAATTTATACTTATAGTTCATATATCTCTCCATATTTCTAATTCATTTGTCTAACTACTCTCTGGACATTCCAAAAGTCCTGCCAACATATCAAAACTTACAATTTTGTCTCTAGCCTATTTATCCTCCTCTATTTTGTCTCAGTTATGCTATTGTCATCCACCATTCCTGCAAAAATACTGAAACATCTGTCTCCTTCTTCCTCCTAATTACATATAATCAGGTGTCAAATCTCTTTGATTTTACCCTTTAAATATTTCTCTGATGTACTCCCTACTCAGTACACCTACCTGTTGACTTATTTCAGACTTTTATCATCTCTCACTTGACCTTTGGCAATAGCTCCAACTTTTTTCTGTAATTCCAGACTTAACTCCCTTGAATCCATCCTCTACATGGCTATCAAGAATCCCTCCAAAACAGAAATAAGGCTATGTCGTATTGTTGCTCCTTAATAGACATATCTGACCACAGCCTCCATATCCAGATTTACCTCTTTGCTTCTCCCTCCTTTAAGTTCATCTGTGCTGGACTGTGATTTTCTGCAAAACAGGCAAAATGAGAATTGAAAAGAGGTTGAGAGAAGATTTTGACCATTTGAGTCAGTGTATTTGCCCTCTCCCTGCCATCCTTCCTCTACCACCAACACCAGAGAAGGGCCTAAAAGAGGTTGTGAAGGTATGAAAGACCAGAGGATTCACACACACATACACACACACACACACACACACACGCACGACTCTAAACCTCTTAAACCACATGGGTGTTATATGCAACTAATGAATCATTGAACACTACATCAAAAACTAATGAGGTACTATATGTTGGCTAATTGAACATAATAAAAATAAATAAATAACTAAATAAATGTCTGGAAAGGAAATAAAAAATAGTGAATGTCAATAAAAAATAAAATAAAATGAGACTGGATTAAGTTTCAAAAAACAAAAGTGACCATAAAACTATGGAACCTACCTAAGACATAATTAAGGAATGTTAAATAAAAATAAAGCACAATTGAAAGCAGTGGTTTTATAAAATAAAATCAGTTTATTTTTAAATCCCAAAGACTTAAGATTCCTCAACACTCTGATTATACTCTGCTTGCACATGATCTCCTTGGGAGTTTTTCCTGACCTGCTTCCCAATTCCTGGTGTATTCCCTGTTAACCTTCTGTATCACTGTACTTATGTGCTTGTCTTTCCTGTTGACTTGTGAGTTTCTTTTAAGGGCATGAGTTGAGTCTTTCGTCCTCTTAACCATTTTAACACAGTGCCTAGCGCACAAGTGATTCTCAGTAAATGTGTGACTGATGGACTGTCAATTAGTGAATTCCCAGAAATGCTAAATCACAGTGACCAATTTTAATGACTTCAAAGTTGTTTCTTTTTAATTTCTCAGGCTCTATTATGTATTAATATTTCCTTATTTAGGGCGCCTGGGTGGCTCAGTTGGTTAAGCGACTGCCTTCAGCTCAGGTCATGATCCTGGAGTCCCTGGATC